GACTTCATCGAAACGTTGCCTAGATACTTCGAATCTTACACAGGAGAAAACCCGAACAACCAAAGATCCATATATATATACATACATACATACATACACACATACATACAAACATACATATTATTATATCAAAATAGTTCCCTGGTCAGTTCCTTCATTATGACTTCCGAACATTTTAAAGCCCGTACTCCTCTCTTCCACCTAGAACCTGGGGCCCTGGAGCGGTTCCCAGCTCACACTCCTCCCCTCCGGGTCAAACCTTAGGAAGGTTCATACTTGCCAACGTGGTTTCGGTCATCGTACATGCGAAGGACGCGTCTATAAACAGCAAAGAGAGGCCGGTTCAAACCCCAGGCGATGGTCCTGTAGAAATCTTTCCTTTCGTCTTTCGACATCTCAAAAATGATCTCGGTGGCATCTTTGATTCCACGGGCCTGTTTACACACAGAGGACAATTTCAGTTTCCCTCCTTTGACAGGAAGTTAAAACTGATTTTCTTTCCTTTTTCTGAACGGCCTTCCCAAAATAAGTAGGGCGACCCAAACTCTAATCAATCTTAGTCACTTCCTCTTCACGATGACAAATTTGGGGGGCAGGATTGGATTTTGCAGGTTTAAGACAGTGGCTGAACAAGGTTCAGGTTTTCATACTATTGCCTGGTTATACAATAATTGTAATAACTACAGGTTAAATAGGAAGTTAAACTGAGACGGAACTGACGTTTTTTCCTTTTTGAAAAATAACAGCCAGCAACCAGGAAAAGGTGCAAAATTCTTTTCCCTGGAAATCAACACGGAACAAATGGCCTCTTATTTCGAATGGATTCTGAGATCAAAACAAGGATGCTCAAATCCATAATCTTTTTTATACATACATACATACATACACACACGCACGCACGCGCACACACACACACCCTATTATAAACGAATCCAGCTAAAAAGTTCTTTGTAGCTGGCTCACTGAGGGGGACAGGCTGATTAGGAAACTGGGCTGACTTGGGCCTCCTCGTGCGCTTTTTAAGAAAAGGTTGAATCAACATCAGTCAGGATCAAACTGAGGTTCAGGATGTCCCGATTTAAGAGTTACTGGCTTCATGACAACTACTGAGTCTTTGATTTAAGGCTATGAGAAGGTCAGACAGTCCCACGTTAAAGAAAAGCACCATTCATTGTTTGGTTAAATGGGTAAGTAAACAGTCTGGATGCTGCTTAACCAGATTTATTGCTTTGTAAGCTCCTGCAAACGCAGATGAAGAGTGTAGCCTCTTCACATCTGGAGCGAAAGGCACCCGTCCGTACCCAGAAGGGAGGTTTTCCTGGAAACTGGGGGCTACAAGAGAGATGGGAGAACTCTACGGAATCCCACGTATAAAACCTCTGAAACCCGTCCGACGGAAGAGACCGACGTCTGAAACTAGGACGCATATCGAGAGCAACACAAACCTTCAAATAACGCTCAATGTTACTCATCAAAATCTGAATTTCTTCCTTCGACCACATGCCCTGTTTCCACTTATGACCTTAAAAATGGAGAAGAAGCTGTCACACACAGACACCCCACCAGCAGTTCAACTTACTGATTAGCACAGAGAAGTGGAGGTGGTTTCTTTACATCAGAGGCCTCCAAACTTGGCAACTTTAAGACTTGTGGACTTCAACTCCCAGAATTCTGGGGCTCCACAAGAAGTCCACAAGTCTTAAAGTTGCCAAGTTTGGGGACTCCTGATTTAGATCCACTTCTAATCCAGCAGATAAATTTTAGTAAAATTTATCATAGCCACTATAACATCATTTTTTGACAGAGAATGGCAATTGTTGGGTGGCTTAAAACATAATGTTACCATCATTACATCAGAGTATAATTTTTTTCAATGTTTTTCCGAGTCATGCAAAGTGGTTTTATATCTGTGCACCCAATTCAATAAGCGCTTATCTGTTATATTTTCATACATGCAACAAAAGTCATACTTATATGTACACAAATGCTGGCATTTAGCACTGATAATAAATGCCACAAATTGGATTTCTAGTATTTCTAGACAAGGAAAAAAAAATGTAAAGGGTGGAATGCCAGGGAATCCAATAAAATACAAGTTATAATAATTTAGCCATACCCTAAAAAATACTAAATATAAATATTCATTCGCTCTTATTGCAAAATAAGCTAGCGTATTGTCCTCAAGTTATTTTCATAAAACAGATTGATTCTTCTCACAATAAGGTCATACTTTTGTGTCATGCACCAAATACTCAGAGGCCTCCCTCCTGTGGAAGGCCCCGAGAGGCCTCCACAAACGGAAAATACAAACTTGCCTTTGTTTGTTAAACAATCCTTGTCTTCTTTGGTCGTAAACCAGGCCTGACTGACAGCCGAGACTTCTTCGTTGGCTAAAGAAGAGATTTCGTCCAGTTGCTCGTTCTGAAGGATCTGGGAGAGGCAAACAGGAAGCTCTTTAAGCCACGGCTCCTCTGACCACAACCGCCTCGAGATGGGTGGACGTCAGCACTCGGAACAATAAACTCTTATGTTTTATACTGTCAAGTCCTGCCAGAGCCATGGCCGAAGACTTCACGGGACACCTGTAGGGGCTGCTTCACGTACCTGAATCTGAGTCACCGTTCCTTCGTTAACCTCATGGTCAGCTACTTCCGTGGTGGCCGTCATGGTCACCTCAAAGCTCTGGTCACTTTCTGAAACTGGAAAGCACAGCCAGGATTGCTGTCAATGTTCTTCTCACCTGCGCACAGCGGCTGCCCTCCCTCCTTGGGGCACAGGAGCTGCTATTTCTCCTTGCTATTTCTGCCTTGCCACCTGTGTCCTTTAGGGCCAGTTTGGTCTTAGTGGTGAAGACACCAGGAGACGGGGAGCTCGAGTCCGGCTTTAGCCATGAAAGCCAGCTGGCTGATCTTGGGCCAGTCCCAGTCCCTCAGCCCAGCCTACCTCACAGGGTTGTTGTTGTTGTTGTTTTGGGGAAACCTGACAGGGAGGCTCTAGATAGAAGGAGGAAGGTGTGTTGGATATGTTTGTTGCCTTGAGTTGCTTGCAAAAATAATAAAAGTGATATATGAATGAAAGAACGAATGAATGACTGGAGTGGGTGGAGGGATGAGTGGATGGATGGAAATGAATGGATGGATGGATGAGTGGATGGATGAATGGAGAAATGAGTGGGTGGATTGATGGTGGATGAATGGATGGTGGATGAAGGGATGAATGGATAAATGAGTGGGTGGATGGATGAGTGGATGGATGAGTGGATGGATGGATGGATGAATGAATGGATAAATGAGCGGGTGGATGGATGAGTGGATGGATGAATGGATAAATGAGCGGGTGGATGGATGAATGAGTGGATGGCTGGCTGGATAAATGGTTTACAGACTGGGGTAAGGAATAGTGGATCACTTGACCAGCCAAACCAGAATTCCCCTCCCCCCCCTTTTCCAGACCCTCCTCCTGGTCCACCCGTGTGGTCTCCCTCGAGCAGCCCCCCTCCCTCCCTCCCTCCCGCGGCCTCCGCAGAGCCTCCCAAAGGGCCCCTTACTTGGAACCGCGACGACCGAGATGCAGGGAGGGTTGCCTTCAACGCTCTCGTCATCTTCCGAGGATAAGCAGAGCCTTTTGTGGGGGGGAGGTTCGGGGCTGTCTTCAGAGTCTACGCCGTCTGCCTCTAAACGCCCGCAGAGAGAAGGGGGAGAAGGACAGCCGTGAGACTTGGAAGGGAACCAGATCGGACATGATTATTATCTCCTGCGGAACTGCCTGCTGCAGGATCAGGGAAGGCCGCTGCCTGACACTCAACTGGAAATCCTAGGGAGAAATGGAGTCACTGAAAAAAGGGCCACTTTCGATTAAGTTCCTGAAAAATATTCACATTTTAGCTCTTGGTCTGCGGTACACAATCCATTTTCTTCTTCTTCTTATGACCCTTCAATCGCTTAAATGTGGAGTTTAAATTCAAGGTGGAGTCGGGCATCTGAGTGGAGCTGAGCATTTACTGGCCAGATACCTTTCCTGACACCTGTGCGGAGTGCACTGCAGATGTTTTCTCTTTGCACCAAGAGAAATATCTCCCGCTACTTAGGATTGAACTCTCAACTTCCCAAGTGGGAGGAGAGCGTCTTCACCTCTAGACCGCTGTGCCATCCACACCTTTACTCCTTTTTCCATCCCCAGAGACTAGCAGCTCCTGTTTAGCGGTGTGATTCTTCGCTTATAAGAAAAAAAATAATTAAAAAATGCATTAAATGGAGAAAAAGTTCAAAAAGTCTGACCTGCTCTCTGGTACAATGCCCTCTAAAGAATGAATGGCCTAATTTCCTTTTTTGTTTTAAAGTGCAACTTCCAGTTCTAATATTTTGCCCACAATATCATTAAAATGAATTTCCTTTAGTCCAATTTTCATACACGTTAAAATCTAATGGTTTAAGAGCCGTTCGTTGCAATAACCAAACCATCATAAGGAAGCATTTGTTGCCTTAATGTACAATTCCAATAAGAGTCATCAAAGCTATTGTGCAATTGTTGTGCAATTAATGTGTGTGTAATTGATGCGGTCTCACTCTCCCACATCCAATTCCACTCTCAAGCAAATTGAATGTAAGGAGCAAAGTCTGCAAAACTCTTTGCTGGAGACCCCAAAAATTGGTTTGAGAGGGAAATGTCCAGACTGGTTCAGGGCTTGGCAGCTTCCTCAGAGGTTAAAGGCACTGAGCTTGTCAGCCGGAGAGCTGGCAGCAGCCCAGGTTTGAGACCCGAGCACTCTGTGACGGAGCAAGCTCCCCTTCCTTGCTCCCTCTCCTGCCCCCTGAGCAGTTCGAAAGCAGGCAAAGGCGAGTGAGAGGAATAGGTACCACTTGGATGGGAAGGTAAGAGTGCTTTCTGCGCCTCTGGTGTGTAGCCCTGCTGGCCACGTGACTGTCTTCGGACAAGGCTGGCTCCCTTGGCCAAGAAACGGAGATGGGCACCATGTCCCGGAATTGGACACAACCAGATAGGGAAAGTTTTACCTTCTTTTTAACCATACTTCATCAGTGAGATTACAGTCTGTTTTGAGGGGTGGCATTCAGGAAGTGAAGTGGGTGTCTTAAGAAAATGCAAGTCTTAACTCATCCATTGCATACCCTTTATTTTTTTTTAAAAGGACATTCCTGAAATTCCTCCAGGAAACTAAATTTCCCACCGACACTGAAAATGGTTTCTCCCAAATTTTATTACCAATCGAAGCCATTCGTCCCACCCAGTTGTGCAACTAAGCCCAATATCCTGGTCTGAGGAGTGACTGTAATTTGAAATGACATGGATGAAAGCATACAGTCAAACAACAGGCGCTCAATACCATCCTGAGGGCAGTGAAGAATAAGGTTGCCTTGGGTGTCTTGTGTCAGAGTCACGGAATTCACGGTTTCCACTGTTACTGTGTCACATTCTTCTTCAACTGTGGTCATAATCAAATCTACAAGAGAAGGAATCACAGATTAGCCAGAGACAGGGTGGTCGTTTGTTCACCGGTGAAGGAGAATAGTGGAAGCCCAGGGTTCAACTCAGGGCTCCTTGGTGCTCTCTGCACATGGCCATTATTCTCTTGCAGACATTTCATTATCCAAAATAGGTAACGTCACCAGAGTTAAGTCTACCCGCACTGACGATGTCGCCTAGTTCAGCTAACGAAAACAAGAAAACAACCAAGCTCAGAGAGCACCGAGGAGCCGGTAGTTACTTACTTGGAACCTGCAACCTACTTATTTATCTCAGAATCAAAGTGACCCTCATTACTTCATGGACAGTAAGTCGAACGACCACGTTACAGACCTAGACAGAAAACAGCTGCTCCTTTTTGGGTTAAGGGGGGGCCTTTACTATTTCTTGCACCTTCTCATTCACAACGTCCAAAACAAACACTTATCCCTAAGAGCAAAGAAGAGCCGGCAGGTCCCTTGAGGCGATGAGGACCAAGAAGAAACTCCCATGCTTCAAGGAAGAGAAAGTTGAGGGACAGACCGGGGTGTGTGTGTGTGTGTGTGTGTGTGCAAGGGGTGGGCTAGGAGTTTGGAGAGCGTGGGGTTCACCACCCCACTGCTCCAGCATCCAGGAGAGAGGGCTGCCCCCATCTCTGTTGAGGCATCTCCAGGGAAGGAAAGCTCATCGGTTCTCGAGGCAGATCCGTTCCCTTGCTGACCGTCTCTTACCATCAAGGTGTTCTGACCTAGACCTTCCCAAGACCAGGAAGCCGACTCCTCGTCCCGACGAAACCTCCTTTTATTTAGGTTAAAGGGAATTCCTCTCCAGCAAAGTCACGGCAAACGGTCTTGCAAGAGATCTCACAACTACAAGCCTTTATCAGGCTGCGAGAGTTGCCAGGCTGATACCTTCCGAACACCACTCTGTAGCAGCAATGACTTGGCAAGGAGTCAGGAACAGAGCTTCACCCGAATGAATTGAACTAATTGTCTCCTGCAAAAGCCCCCTCCCCTTTTGCTCCTCTTTATTCCCCATGGGAGGGGCCATTCACCATCCACTTGTGCCTTTACTCCCGAGTCGACCCTTGTTCCTTAGCTGTCCCCTTCTCCTGGCAGCTCTGCGCATGCGCACACTGGGAACAGGCTCCAGCTGTTCTTCTCCCCCACTGATCTCTGACTCTGAAGGTAGCTGATAACTGCCGGATAGCCCTGGTCCCATCTCTGCATTTTCTTGGACCGGAAAACCTCCAAGGCCCTCCGGCCATTCTTTGTGTGGTGTGGAACTACCAAGGCATACATGGAGACATCTCGGTGCTGCCGTAAATCAAGGATGTGCAAAACATGCCTTCATAGAAAGTTCTGACCTGCCACTGTTTGGACCTTGAAACTAGATGCACAACATATTATGGAAGTAGTAGTTGAATCTTGAAACTGTTCTGAGGTCAGGAAGGTTTAATTTCCAAACTGGACCCTTCTGGACCCTCCAGAATGCTACAGAATTGTTCCCACCTCCCTGGGGAAGAATTTCTAAATTTGCCATGGATTATAGCGCTGACTGTTGACTCAGCATGCTCCTTGGTCTAATCCCACAGGGAGCATTCTTGCCTCCAGGGTTAGTGAGACCTGTCGCCGTTTTAACCTGAGCTGCAAACCAAGACAGGTTGCAGTTTGCAAACTGTAGCATCTTGCCTTGCAAGGCTCATTGACCGAAGCAGAATGCAGGCGGTCCTTGAGTTACGGCCCCAATTGAGCCCAAAATTTGCATTGATAAGTGAGGAATTTAAGTGAGTTTTGCCCCATCCTACGACCTTTCTTGCCAAGGGGATCATGTGACCCCCTTGGGACATGGCGACGGTTGTAAATGTGAGTCGTTTGCCAAACACCTGAATTTTTATCACGTGACTGTGGAGATGTTGTAACAACTGTAAGTGTGAAAAAGGTTCATAAGTCACTTTTTCAGTGCCATTGTAACTGTGAACTGTCACTAGTCGAGGATACCTATATATCTTTACTACAATATCCATACTGTTCCAAGAAGAGATTTTCTTCTCTTTGTCCTGCCTTCCTTCTTAAGTCCCCCCCTTGCCTAGAAGTCAGTTCCAGCAGGTTGGTCTTTAACTACAACGTTCATTTCAATCGACATATTTAATTGTAACAGAAGATTTAAAAAACCAAAAACAAATAGTTCTCTTCATAAATCTGTTTTCAGAGCCCACAAAAAGCTGTTTCAGCTGATGGCACCTTTGAGATTCAGCATGAAGCAATGTTTTGAAGAGCAAAGTTGATCTGAGAACTGAAATGTGCTCTGAAACACTATTATTGTATATTCTGCGCAGGTGTAAAATTAAAGGATGTTTTTGAAAATACTGTGGAAGAAAATCGATATTTTGAAACATAGTTTTTATTTGTCAAAGCATTAAAACAAGTAGCATACTTTATGTAAACATACCAACTGAAAAGATGGAGGTCGTTTATTTCAGAGTATTTAGTGGTAAAATATCCATATATCTATCTACTTTATGTTTTACAATGTCATGGTTTGCTTGTCAATTGTTCTCTTGTGAAAATCCCAATATTGTTTATGAAGTAGAGAAATCCTACACAAGAACACCCAGCAGCCACAATAACTCAAAACCTCTCAGCCTGAATGACAAAACAATCAAATTCAGGAGAGGGTTTCTTTTACGTTAAAATACCACTGACGTACAACTAGCCTAGTGGTCACTTATACTAGAAAAGTAAACTATATTAAATGATATTAGAAAATCTTTTAGTCTCAATCCACAAACTTCAATACCTCAGTACCCCAAGATTTTGCAGAGAGAGAGGGAGGGAAGGAGGGAGGGAGGATGGATCATCAATGTGGACAGAATATGTGAACGTTAATTTTCTGTAGTGTAAGGGTTGTTTGTAAAATTACCATTTTACATTTTAAGCACTGGAGACAAATTCCTTGTGTGTCCAATGACATTTGGCCAATAGAGAATTCCATTTCTAGTTTCCTTTCCCATACTTACAGACATATACACATATTGCTTTTTATACTTAATCATACCAAAAACAATTAGATTTGTGGCCTCCCAACTCCCAATGGCTCTGGAGACAAGAAATAATATAAAACAACATTTTAAAAATGGAAGATAAAGAAAGCAGGTGGCAAGTACAATGAAACCAGGAGCCTTTCCTTGCCAAAGGCCTGGGAATTTCAATATCATCCGTCCGTCATCTATATATACCGTTCATTTGTGTATGTATGTATGTATGTATGTATGTATGTATGTATGTATGTA